CTGAAGACTTTAAGCAGAAGCAGTTCTGGCTGCTGCTTCGCTTAAATGATCTGGAGACGTTTTTCCTGGTGGAAAACAGAGCAGGGAGAGACGCACCCTCCCTGGTGTGGAACCAGTAGCGCTCCCCCCTCAGGCTGACGGTTGGCATCCTCTCCAGATCCTGAGATAACAACCCCTCCCAGCACTGGGTTTGGTGCTTTCCTTATCTTTCAAATGCCTTAATGGTGAAATAAAAGCTTCATCCCGACTTCCTTTATTATTATTATTATTACCTCTGCAGAGAGAGCAAACCAGACTGGGCTAATTATGGGAATATTTCACTTTTATTATGTTTAAAAGGACTTTTCTCATTGAAAGGTGGTTTAAATCTTTTTATTAGAGGGTGAGGATCCAGACAGTTAGGTCCAAATTTAAAATGTTTAACTATTAGAAATATACATTTTATATCAAATTGAATGAATAGGTTAAAATATGTCTCAATATTGACGTTAAACACATACAGTGACAGCAACAGAATATTACAGCTCCATTTTCTTTGGGTAAACAATGTGTGGGCGGAGCCTATTTGGAGGCTGGTTTTTCCTCCAGCTAATGCCTTGAATTAACCGTGACGTAGACAGAAAAAGGTGGATGGATAAATAAACATAAGACATTTATTTTAGTTTGAAAATAAATGATTCTCTGGACGTCCTCCTGTCAGTGGCCAATCAGGGGCGGACTTTAGGAAATTTGGGGCCCTAGGCAGAGACAGGTAGGGGGCCTTTTGAACAGAGAAGACAGCACATAAAACAGACCCATTCTACAGAAAGAGAAATAGAATAGACATCCATTATTTGAAATTCATATATAATATACATCATTTGCAAAAAAATGTGTTTTTCCTCCATCCTCTACCTCCCTCTATAACATTAACACATTAAAGTCACAGGGAAGCGGCTGTTCCAACGAGAATAAAGTCGCAAACAGAATTATAATGTAATTACAACGATAAAGTAACAATGAGAATAGTCATGAAATTGAGAGAATAAAGTCATAATATTGCGAGAAAGAAGTTGTATTTTATAACATCTCTTCCTAGAATCCCTTTCTTCCCTAAAATGAGGAATGTGGAGCATCATGTGAAGTTCTACTTTAGCATCGGTTTGACAAATCAGCAGCATCAAACTGGGCAGGATGTCAAAGTGGACTCTGGTTGCTGATTGGTGGAGCTGG